TTTGTTCCAGTTCTCCTACTGTTTGACCTGCCTAAAATAGGAAGTTTCTTCCAATGGTCACTTTTTCTTGCTTATGTTAGGCCCTGGAAACAAACTGCATGAACTGGCTCTGCAGAGCTCTTCTCATGGCTCTTCCTTTGCTAGGTTGACACAGCATAGCCAATATATTTATTCCCTTACATATTTATTATTTATTAGCTTTTTATCCTGATTTTACTACTATTATAAATAACTCAAGGTGCCAAACATAGCTAACGTTCCTTCCTGATCTTATTTTCCCACTACAACAACAACCCTGTAAGGTGGGTTGAGCTGAGAGAGAGAGAGAGAGAGAGAATAATGCAGGCACAGGGCCTTGGCGTTTTCTGGCTTTTACGGTTAGTTCCTGTCTGGCTGAGCATGGAGCCATGGGGGTCTTGATAGAGCCCATCTTATTGCAATGAGCCTTTGAAATCTGGCTCTTCTGGACCATGGGCCAAAGTCTATCCTGTCTGGGTGTTTAATAAATTTACACACAGATTTTAGAGGCAATCAGTTGTGAGGGTCTTTGTTGAGCTGTACATAGTGTGCAGAGTTGCTGCTGGCAGCATCTGCTTGGAAGGTGTTTCTTCTGGCCCGAATCTCCTGCTGTGTTTGGTCTACAGATAGTCTCCTCAAGATCATTGAATAGTAGATGTTGATTGCAAAATGGTTAGAAACAATACTCTGGAGGGAAGTGTTACGTGGGGTCTCTCTGAGCTCTGTCCTGGCGTAGTGCTTTATAAATGATCTAGAGTTGCATTCCCCCCCCCTCAGCAACTTTAGGATATGCGGACTTGAACCCCCAGAATGCCATGGCTGGAGTTCTGGGGCTTGAAGTTCAAACATCTTAAAGTTGCTGAGGTTGAGAATCACTAACCTAGAGCAAAGGTTACCATTCTCTGAGATCCTGAACAATTTCAAAACAGATTGCCATTTTAGACCTATCCAAGCAAACCAGGATTACCATCAGAACTCATTCTGACTGCATATTCAAACCAGCTTCCAGCTTGTGCAACCGATGTCCAGAGCGAATTCTGACGGAGCTCCAGTTTTGTGTTGCAGGCCTGACTGCTTGCGCAAACGAGGCCAGAGGCCACCCAAGTTCACTCCAGATAAGGTTGCCCAAGCCCAGGGAATGAGGGAGCGGCTTCTTGTTGGGAGGGATTCTAAAAAATGTTAAAATATAAAATAGCATAAAGGTAAGAAGGAGGCAAGGATGATTAAACTATTAAAATTATATAAAAGGCGAACTGCTTGCAGGAGCCCTTAAAAAAGAGCTGTCCCACTATTTGGGGTAGAAAAGAAGAAAAAGATTAAAAGACAGAGACCTGCGTCAGTCTGTAGAGGAAGCTTAAGCCACCCGATGCTCTTGTACCTCATAGCAGGGGAGCACAGAAGCGGTAATCTAGCACATTGGCCAATATATATATTTTAACATTTTATTGTACACCCCCCCCCAAAGGCCCTCTCTGAAGGAGGTGGCTGGTTCAAAAATGTGAAAAATGAATAAAAACAAATAAATGTTAATTCAAGTCCATCCTTGGGCTAATCTTTCATCTTCCAAATAGGTTCCTTGAGTGGAAAAACACATCCTCCCTCTGCCTTGGATGGCCCCGTGTTGCTATGCTGCCTGGGCTCTGTGGGGACCCTTTGGGTTGTCGGCCAGGGTCAGCGCAAGGCCGCTTTTGACTTTCCAAGATGCCCCTTTCAAAGCCGTTTAATCTCTTCCAGGCGACATTCAATCGGGTCCTGGAAATGGCTTCAATTAATTTTGCTGCCTGGTCTGCTCCCCCTTAATGGGAACAGGAACTTGAGGGAGCTTTGAAATGGAACAGGGATTTCCAGAGGGGTTAATTGGCAAGGCAGAATATTGTTTGCAAGCTCTTTGGGGAAAATTGGGAATATTTGGGACCTCCTGGGGACGCCCGTTGTTCGGCTGCCTTGCGGGTGGTGGGTGAGGGACAGGCTGCCTCCATCTCCTTTTTTGCCCTGAGACTTCGCTGCTTTAGGTGGGTCTCACAAACCTTATGTTGTGTTCTGGATGTGTCTGATGAAACAGGCTGCCATCTATAAAAGCTTGTGTAGTGGGAGTCCTTTGCACTGGGACAGCCACAGTCAAATCAAAGAAAATGACAAATGGGATAATTTTTAAAGCCTTTGTTGCTCCCGGCAGAAAAGATTAACGCCGCTCCCACTTGGAATCTGGAAGTCAAGAATTTAGGCTTCATAAATTATCGCCACCGAGCACTGACTGATTTCTGACTGCAGATCTCTCTGATCTGCAACTTGGAGCATTGAGGAAGGCTCTGACGGCTGAACATGTGCTCCCCAAAGGCCGCTTGGCTGAGGTTTGTCTCTCCCAGTTGTCAAGGATAATAAAAAGGGAGGCAGATCCGCCCACCAGCAGTGCTTAAGTTCTCAGGATCCACAGGTTTTTTCCTGTGAAATATGAAGCCTGGTGCAACTTTTGGGTAATTGCATAACACCTGGTTGCACCTGCTGGAGTGTTTCGTGAAGAGTTAAGTAATGCCTGCAAAGGGAACGGCATGCCTGACTCACGGGCAGCGTCTTGAGTTTGGAAGGCAGTTGGGAGATCTGATGCAGAAAGCAGGGCTGAAGATGGAAGTAATTCAGAGAGCAGTTTGAAGACACATGGCTTCTAGGGCTGGGACTGATGTCACGCTCCATTATCCTCTTCCTGCAAATGGATGTGGTTTGATCGCAGTGCATTCTTTCTCAGCCCACCGGCCTGAGGAAAATATGGGGAAGTTCCTTCCTGGGCTCAGCAGCTGTTCATGCTCCTGGGATGCTAAAGTTTAACCTCACTGTAGCATCTCGTAGCTACCGGATCTCAAGGCAGGCAAGATAAAAAGGGCTTTGGACTCCTTCTCCCCGAAGAGACCCTCTGCCTTTAATTCACACGGTGCATTCTGAGGTGGGATATAGCACCATTTTCCTATACAGGTAGTCCTCGCTTAACAACTACAATTTGGATGAGAATTTCAATGGTTGAGTGAATTGGTTGACTGCCCACATGACTGCTTCACTCAATGACTGCAATTCTGACACTCTCTATTGTGGTCGTTAAACGATGATATATGTCATTAAGAGACAGAGCCCCAAGGAAGGAGTTACTCTGGGAGGGTGGGGAAACCCAGAGAAGCTGAAAATCCAACCAGGATTTTCAGCCCTGGAGGGAAAGGCTCTCGGGCACAGCTGCACCGGTCTCCCCAGGCCCCCTGAGACCCCCCGTGGCTCCCTCCTTTACCGGGCTGCCTTGCTGTTCAGAAGCCAAAAATCCTCCCTGTCAAAACCCATGAAGGATGTTCAGCCCGAGTGAAGAGACAGACGCTCATGCGTGGCCTGAGGCACCCGGCTCATTTCCTTCTCACGTGGCCTTTCTGCATGGCGTGAACTCCTTCCGTGAGACGCAGGAATGGGGTCCAGACCTGCAGGATCTGCTCCCTCGGCGGGCGACTCTTTCAGCCCAATCCCAGAGATGAGAGGAGTCCACTCGGCAGGCGCAGCAACAGCCTGAAATTCCCCGCTGACTTTCTGGGGAACCTGGCAAACGCTGGTCACATGACTGCGCGGTGCCTGGCAACTGGTTGTAAGTGTGAACAGGTTGCCAGGGGCCCAAAATGCGGTTGTGTGACGATAACGATGGTTGGATTCCTGGTGACTGCCTGAACCAGCCTCTGCAGCTGTCTAGGGTTAGTTTTTGGAAGTGGTTTGCCCCTGCCTTCTTTTTCCTAGGGTTGAGAGAGAGGAACTGGCTGAAAATCATTCAGCTGACTTCATGCTTCAGGCAGGACTAGAACTCATGGCCTCTTTGCTTCTAGCCTGATATTTTTAATCACTCCATCAAATGTGATTCTTGTAGTTATATGATTGAGTGTCTTGAGTGACTCTAGCCTTCCTTATACACAGAAAAGTTAAGAGTTACAGAATGCAGAATAACCAAGTTGGAAGGGAGGCCTTCTAGTCCAGCCCCCTGCTCAAGCAGGAGACCCTACCCCATTCCAGTCAAATGGCTGTCCAGTCTCCTCTTGAAAACCTCCAGCGAAGGAGAGCCCACAGCTCCTGGAGTCATGGCATACCACTGGTTGATTGTTCTCACTGTCAGGAAATTTCTCCTTAGATCTAGATAATATTCTTAGTTAATAGTAAGGTTTCTTATTATTACAGCAATATACTTGATGCGGCATTTTATGTGCTCTTGGTAGCTATAACAGAAAGAAGCTATAGATTTAGATCTAGTAGTGGATCTCTTAGCTATTGGTAACACATTAATAAGAGTTTTAAATAGCAACAAATTGAATGTTCCCTGCTTAGATCTCTACAGAACGAAAGCACCAAAATGAAGTGACCAGGATCTTTGCTTGGCAAATTACGAGTTTTATTCATTTTGATTTTCCAGAAGAATGCCTGGGCTATCATTTTTAAGTCTGCCTTCTGCATCAAGATCCGCTTGATGGGCATTAAGATTCTGGGGGATTAAAGAAAGCCAAAATAGATTCTAAAAGACTAGTATCTGCAGATTACTTTTTGCCAGAATGCCCCAACATTGGGCATTAGACTGATTTACATATAAGTCTTCATTTTGTGTTATGCTGACACTTGAAAATATAAATCCATTATAAGCAGCAGACTGTAGCTGATCATGGAGTGACAGCAGCAGCAGCAGCAATGTTTTAAGTGCTTGGTTGAAGACCATCTTTATAATAGATCAACCATGGTATGGCCCTGAAAGAGCCGGGGTTTCACATGGTCTTATTCTCCTGCCTATACAATGGGTGTAATAAGAAACCTCACTGCTTATCATAGGGTACACTGGAATAAAATACTCTGAGCAATCTGAAAATATTCTAAAGAAACTAAGAACGTCCCAAGAAAGCAGGTTGGAATGCCTTTTTGAAGATATTCTGAATTGGTCTTAATACAAATGTGAAAAATAATAAATCCTTTTGGACTTTTAGGTCCCCCGGTGGCAGCTGCAGTGAGGTCCCATTTTAACAACTGTCCAGATGCCCACAGCACATTTTGTTTCCACGGGACTTGCAGATTCCTGGTGCAAGAAGAAGAACCTACTTGTGTGTAAGTGTTTACTTTGGCATTCTGAAGTGCCTGTGCAGGTGCATCCAAGAGCTTTATAGCTGAGGGGCAGCAGAGCAAATGGAAAGAGCCCCGGGAACCGTACTGTAGAGAGCTGAGAGGCCTCTGGACATAGAAGAGCGGGAGGGAAAGAGGGTCTCCTGAGAAGGCCCACTTACCTGCAGCAGTTGCACTCTAAAAGGGGAGTTTCACTGAAACCCAGGGCCCCATAGTGCCTCGTAGCAGAAATGGCCCAACACTGCTGAGGAATTTGGTTTGTGCCTGATCCGTAATACTCCTCCAGCGATTTATTTAATTTATCTCTGTGCACCAAAAGTTAACACTCCAATTGGAACATCTGTCCAGTCTTTTTCTTGAGAACCTCCGATTGCTTCTCCCCTCCTTTGTGCCTTCCCCTTCTGGGGAACAGGAGCCCCTTTCATGCCCACCTCTTTTTCTCTCGAGGCTCAGCAGAGGCCACAGCCTTCGAACCTCGTGTCTGGTAAGAAAGGAAGCAGCCTGGCTCCTGCTTTCCTTGCCCTGAAAATCAGTTTGTGTGTATTTGTGGATGCACAGAAGGACTTGCATACTTGTTGCATGGGACCCCCTGCAAGACTGCCCTGGCACTTGATGTTTGCTGAGAGCACCCAAGATTCTCAGCCTCCAGCTTAAAAAGATTGTCACGATCAGTCTTTGGGGCAGGAGCAAAAACAGGCTTGTTAACTAAATTCAGCTTTTCCAACCCTGATGTTCTGCAGCTGGGCCAGCCCCTGGCCTCTCAATTTTAGCAACTTTAAGAGGTGTAGTCTTCAACTCCCATAATTCCTGGCTAGAGAATTCTGGGAGTTGAAGTCCACTTCTCTTAAAGTTGCTAAGGCTGAGAAATGCCACCTAGACAATACTCTATATCTTCAACATTTGGATTATAGCATCCCGTACAGCCATTTGTCCAGGATGATATCAGGTCTCTGGCCATGGGTTGGGGGTCTTCCTGTCCGACCCCCAAGGTCCCTTCCAGCCCTGTGATTCCATGTTTCTAAGATTTAAAAAGACTGACTAGAGGAGAGGAGCCCACACAGAAATGGAGTCTCATAAAAGGCGTTGAAGCTGAGGACAGTTTTGATGGCAAACGCTTTTCCACTGCTTCTCTCTCACCGGAGAGGTCCTCAGACTGCCAAAACAGCCATCCGGGTGCCTGAATCTGGCTCAGGGCACTGGGCAGCAGGGGGGCTCGTTCCCCTCCAAAGCCTCTCCCGCTGTTGCAGCCTGGACTCCAGATTGTCTGCCTGCTCTGGGCAGCCGTGGCCAGCGAAGGTGGCCAAGGCCCACTTCAGCTGGAATGAGCTGAGCTGGTGGTCTCCCCTCCCTCCCCTCCTAAGATGAGGCTTTGGCTTCCATTTTCCTTGCGCAGGTGCCATTCTGGCTACATGGGTGCCCGCTGCGAGCATGCCGATCTCCTGGCAGTGGTGGCTGCCGCCCAGAAGAAACAAACCATAACCGCCTTGGTGGTGGTTTCCATCATCGCCTCCATTGTCGTTATCATGGTCTGTGTCCTGATACAGTAAGTATAGTTATGCGGAATCTGCATAACTGCAAGAGCTGCTGACCAGGAAGGCTCCTCTGACCAGGAAGGCTCCTCTGGCCCAGGGCAGGCCCCACAGCGCCAGGGGGCAGGAGGAAGGGGATCACCTGGAGGAATGCAGCATCGGGCAGACTGCTGTGGGATTGCCTTCCCAAGCATTGCCTCCATTGAACCCTGGTTTGTGACTACAATCTGCCTGCAGGAGGAGGGGGAGGGCAGAGGGCTACATGCAGCTTGTTCTAATTTCCAGGGCAAAACAGCTGCAGATGCAGCTTTCAAGCTTGAGGCTCTGGGAGGCCAAGCAGCCCTTCCGAGCATAAAACATCCCAAAATGCTCCAAACAGCCAGACTGACCCTCAAGGTAGCCCGCTGAAGAGGATTCTTTGCAACTCAAAATGTTTTGTGCACATAATTGCATGAAATGAATGTCCGGTGGCCCTGCGCTTGGGCACTGGCTGCTGGTCAGCTCCCACAAGAGGTATCTCCTTGAAGTCACAAACTCCTAGTTGGGAATCTTACTTTATACTTAGAAGTTCTAATTCTCTCAATAGGAACAGCTGTGTGAGATGCTGCAGTGCCTATTAATGCTAAACCCAGGCTGTAATTGTCAGCAACATTTAATAAGCTATGAAGTGCACAAAATGCGGGCATGAACCTCTGTGTACAGCAGAGCTGTCTTTTGGGTCAGAGCCCGTGGCAGAAATCTCGGCTTTTGGAGGATTGCAGCTTGGCTTCCTTGAGGGGTTTGGGAGGACAAATGGTTCTGGAGAGCCTCATTCTTGGGGGGGGGGCGGGGGCAGGTCAGACCACCAAATTTGGCTGTCAATATTGGGTTAGCCGAAGAACTGCTGAGAAGACTGAGATTCCAGTCTTGGACTGAAGGGCTTTCATGCTGTTGACAGACTCAGGGACTGTGGTCCGTTTCTGGTGTGAATCTGAGCCCCTATGGGACCCTGCACACAAACCTTGGTTCAGACAGGCTGAGGCCACATGTCCCCAGCCCCGCAGAGGCTGCCTCCCAACAAGTACCCCATTGTTTCTGCTCCGGAAACTGATTCTCTGCTCCTTCCTTCCCCTCCTTGCCTGCCAGCCATTCCCGTCCTTGGCCCAAACTTTGTTTGATTAACCTACCATTGTGTGTGTTTCTGTAGTTGCTGCAGGATACGGAAGCCCTGCGAGTGGTGTAGGACGATCGTTGGCAGGCATGAGAAACCCACCGGGCTCCTGAAGGGGGCCACGTCTTGCTGCCACTCAGAGACAGGTAAATCAATAGTATCTGTGCTAATCTGGCGTTTGTCATTTCAGACAATAAAATCCTGGTTCTTTTATTTGGTGGGAATGAAGAAAGTAGATTGGCACTCAAGCATTCTGGCTTTGAAGCAGTAGGGAAAGGAGAGCCCTGAGGATCCGGCAGTGTTCCAGGCGAGAGCGCAAAGTTTGCCGGGCAGGGGATGGGGGGGGGGGCTTTCCAGCCTCTCTGTGAAGAGTACTTCTGTCTTCAGAAAAACTATGGGAAATCCCAGAGGGCTCCCTGCACCTGAACACATTGGCTGAGCTTAAAAGCTAAGCAGGGCCAAGTCTACTCACTCCTGGCTGAGAGACCCCCAGGCCTGCAAGGCCAGATGGGAGGCCAGGAGGACCATCGGAGGGGAGCCCCCTTCCATAACTGTGCTGAGAAAGTATCGGTGGAGTTCCCAGGAGCTGTGCGTGGCTCAAGAGAAAGCTGACACAGAGGGATGGATTAGAGACAGAAATAGAATTGTGGTTTGTAACACTTAGTATGAAAAATACCAGTCCCCAACCCCATGTCCTCAAACACACCTCAGCAGACCATGAGGCTGCCCTGGTTTTATAGTTCTGTTCCTCTGATCAACAGAACTGGAATATAACAGGAACTCCCAAGAGCCAAATTCACATTTTCTCAGGCACACAGCACAGAATTCCCAGTCCTGCCTCGAATGCTGCAGAGTGAGCAGACCAGGATGTCTTCTGCTTCAGGCTTGGGGAGGATTGAGGAGGACTGAGCCCCAGCCTTCCCCCTCCTACCCCGGAGGGAACAGTCTTCCTACAGATGGGGCTTCCGTAGGCCACAGCCTTTTGGCAGGGGGGAGCTCTGGTCGTGGGGTGGTGCCGAGCTGGGAATTCTTTTGACACTGATGCTTGTGGGCACAGTTGTAAGCAGGGCTAACCCACATACTCCCTGACCCAATTCTTGACTAGCATCTGATGTCTTCCTTTGGAGAAAATAAGATTTTCCTTACTGGATTATTTTATGGTTTAGCCATAAACGGAACCTCTGTCAGCCAAATGGCCTTAACAGTTCTTGGGGAAGGAGATATAGTGGCCTCCTCTTCTTCTGCTCCACCCAACGTTCTTCAGAGGTAGATTCTTTCTGAATGGGAAAGTCTGCTCTCTTGACTGAAGGCCTGTTTGCCACATCTTTGTCTAGCAAAGGGGTTGAACTAGAAGATCTCCAAAGTATTTTTCCAACTATGTTAATTCTGTTAAATAATCCCTTTTGAAGTATGATGATCATCCTCCCATTGTGTGGTCAGTATTCTGTTGCTGCGCAAATATTAGTCCACAATAAAGAGGTTTCTTTGGTATGGACTTACCTAATTGCTTGTTTTGCAGTTGTCTGACAGAAATCAGGTCTCCTGCAATTCCACGGATGGCAACAGTGCAGAGCTCTGCCTGGGAGGTCTACAATATTCTGAGAAAAACTTTAATATGGACAAGACAGTTTCCAGGGATTTAACCCGAAAGCCAATTTAGTGCAACTTTTGAGGCCTTCTCCTAATCTTCCACCATAATGCTGGTCGTCCAGAACTTTGCTAAAGGAGCAGCACGGTCGCTGTAGCTTCTGTGTTGTTTGTGACAACCAGAAAATCTCCAAGACTCCTTTTTAGTCAAAATAGAGAACAGTGACAATTGGCAGCTATATATTTACTTTAACCACCAAAGGACAAGCTTGTTCAAGAAAGGGAATGTATCTGGTTTGTCTCGGAAAAGATTTAAGGGAGACCTGATCCAACGTAACCGAAGGGCTGGCTTTGATTTGCACATCTGTTACGTCTTTGACTCCTCTCCAATGGAAGGATGCTCTGTGTTAGGCCTTTGGGAGTAGCACCACCCTCCCTGTGAGTATTCAGCTGCAAGTGTTCTTTGAGTGGAAAAACACCTAGACCAGGAGCCTTCCCAAAGCGTCTGGGTTGGTAGTATCCTGTTGGGGAAGCAGAAAAAAAAATGAACGGGAGGGGGGGGAGAAGACTGGTCAACCGTCTTACAGCCAGAAGAGAGAACTGCTTCCCCCCCCCCTTCCCTCCATATGAGCCATTGATGCTGGCCAAGTGAGAAAGCCCCTTTGCCTTCTCGGCCAGGTTCTCTGAGTGACTTGGTGGCAGCTTTGCTACTTTTTTCGAGCAAGACAACAGACCATAGAGGCCTTAGTTATTACATGACAGGTAGAAATGGGATCTTGAAAGAGGTGCATCTGGGCTTGTTTTTAATACTGATTTAAAAATGCCTTTGAGTTAGATGAGAAGTTTAATTAAAATCAATTTTTAGCAGGGGTGTTTTTTAAACACTGTACTGTTTCTAGGTTTACATGCTTGTAGGGGATTTCTGACTATTGCAATGTCTTGGGAGACAGAAGGTTCCTCCAAGTCACAAGGACTGGGGACAACACTCCACAATTGTGCGGGTGCTTGCATGTTTTGACCTCCAGGCCCGACATAAGGGTTTGGTTCCAAGAGTGAGATAGATCTGGGAAAGCAGTTCAAGTGTGAGGCAGGATGGCATTCCCTGAGTCCAGGGGAACCTTGGAAGCCGAGTTCTTCTCATGGATGTTTAGGAGTCCTGCTGTTGTGGGAAGTTCTGTTCTGAAACCAGGCCTTTGGCAGTTGCATGAAGGTGTAAAGGATTGGCTCTTTGAGGACAAATGCCGTAGTTTCCAAGGCAGAAGTGAGAGAGATGATAATAGATATAAGAAATGTCTCAAAAGACATTCTGAATTGGCCATCAATTCTGATTTACATGCAAGCCAAAACTTCCACTGCGAAGTACCAATTTCACCTTCTTTCTTTTGCTGATGGAAAGAAGACGTATTTGCCGATGCTTCTGGTTTTTCAGGCTCCATCTTCCCAAAAGGATGGCTCGGCATGTTGGTTGAAGCTTCATGCCATAAACTTTGTGGCCATATGGCAAAAAAGAAATGAAATAGAGACAAATTGTTTTGTTTCTCAAGTTGTCTGGCTGACAAATGCTTCCGTTACTTTTAGTGGATCAATTCTTTTTGTGCCTTATTATAATGGCATTCCCTCTTTGACTTTTCTCAAAGGGGAAATAATTGGGTTTTTAAACTCGCCCCCTTCTTTCCTAGCCTTGCTTCTCAACAACCAATCTATAAATTGGGAGTTTCTCCAAAAAGAAAGAAAAGGAAGGAAGGAAGGAAGGAAGGAAGGAAGGAAGGAAGGAAGGAAGGAAGGAAGGAAGGAAGGAAGGAAAAAAGAAAGGCATTCCAAAAAACACGGCCTTTTGCACTACCCCTCAAGGCATAATGTAAGTCACTTAATGGTACGTCCAGAGCCAGAGATCTAAGGATAATGTGCATTGGCTTAGTTGAGAATTGTCCCTGGGGAGACCTTGATTCCTACCAGGCCTAGTTCAGGAGCTCCCGATGCTCCAGTCTCAGAGGGCATCAGTAGCAGAGAGGCTGCGTTTGTCCTGAATTGCATTTTTGATACTTCGAATGGTAAACCAGCTTGTCCAGGACAGAATTCTTTTCCCTTTCAAGGGAGGAAAGAGCCTCTGCTTCTCCAGGTTTCTGTTTTGTGATGCTGTTTAGAAATAAATTGCACCCTTTCAGCTAGCAGTTGTTTAAGCTGATGCGATCTGGACTTGTGGAATTGATCAATGCTAAGCTCAGCATGGAAGTATCAAGGCTTTGGGGGAGTAAAATGGTTTAAAATTCTCAAATGAAAGCTTTCATCTGAAATGCACTTGAGTTATGCTGAAGTATCAGCCACTAAATGCCTCTTCCTGATTCTGTGTGTTGACTCAGAAATTAACACTTTGTCTTCACAATTTAAGTTTAATTTGGTCCATAGCCAAACTGAAGTTTTATTTTTAGCCAAGGTTACACTTTTTTCTTCTGTATATGTTGCACTGAAGGTTACTATTTAATATTTTAATTTATTGTGTGGATAAATTAATTTGATTCATGTAAGATGTTTATGTGATTGGTTGTTATTTCTTCCTTAATATTCTGAGTTAATAGATATTTAAATGAGTGAAATACACTTTTCATAATACTTTGTTGTATTTTTTTTAAAAAAGGAAGGCTATAAATTAAATAAGGAACTCTTTATGCAAATGTTAGCACTCTGTGTCTCATTGCAATGCTACCTCTTCTCTTGAACGACCTGAAGCAACAGTTTGTATAATGGGGACAATTATTCTTTCCGGGTGGCTGTGAGTGTAAGGAGGTTGGCCCAAAGCCACGTGTTGTGTTGCATACCAGCTCCCTTCTTCCAGGGTGATTGTATGAACTGTAGCTAGATGAGCCACAGAGACTTGCTTCACACAACAGAGTAAGCCACGGACCACAGTTCACAAACAACAATGGCTCCATTCATACAGTAGTTGGATGACACATCGCTGTAAACCACAACCAAACCAACCAACCAAATTACTCATACAGGCAAAACAAGTGGTACGTTTCAGTGATCTGACCAGCCTCTCTATGATATAAAATTATCCTGTTTTTCTGCAAATTTGAATGCTTACTTCGATCATTTATGTGCATTGTTTCCATATTTAAAATAGGAAAGTATGTGTGGCAAGTGCAGGGTGATTAGAAAAGGATTCCTATTGCACCCGAAGGTGATTGACTGATTGGGATGACAGTTGGACAGGAGAAGGCAATTCCATAAGGGAACCCTGATCCTTCTAATTTTTCGGATTGTAATGTTTCTGACTACTTTTGACAACCATCAAGATTCCCTGAGAGTTTGAAAAGCAAATATAATTCTCTCTTACCAAATGGGAGAGCTTTAAAAGTTTCCTGGCTGCCAGCAGGCAATCTCAACTATAAGAAACCTAATTAAGAAATGGAGGTTACATGGAAAATTTGAGGTCAAGGCTGGGGAAATGCTGGCTGAGGAATTCTGGGAACTGAAGTTCACACATGCTAAAGTTGCTGAAGTTGAAAAACACCGATCTTAAACATGCCAGAGAAGACCATGATAAGCCTGAAATATTTTGGAACAAAGTGCTTTGGATTGATGAGACAAAAATTGAACTGTTCAGCCACAACTAATGACACACTTTGAGAAAAAAGTGAGAGTCGAAAAAAAGAATATTTTGTCAATTATTGAGCCTGGGGGTTGCTCTACCATATTTTGGAGTTGTATGGCAGCCAGTTGCACAGGAAATATTGTGTGGGTGGAAGGAAGTAGGGATGCAACTAAATATCAGTGAGCCCTAGAAGTCTCACAGTCAGGAAGGAATGGAAGTTGAGAAGAGGTTGGCTGTTTCAGCAAACCAACGCAGTTGAAACCCAGGAATGTAAAAGTGTTGAATGTCTTCAAAATTCAAATGGGAGATTTTAAACATGCTGCATCCGAGAATATTTATGAACTATGGAAACATACAAGGAAAAAAATACCAAAATAATTGAGTTTCCAAGGGACTCACAGTGAAACTTTCTCTGTTCTTAAATAAAACAGGCGGTGAAGTTTACTGGAAACTTATTAAACAATACCAGCAAATAGCCTGAAACTTCAAGGATACAGCCAGGAAAGAAGAAATGCAAAAAATAATGATAAAAAAGTTTCAGCTCGTAAAAAACAAAATTTTTCAGGTGAATGATTGGTCCACTAATGCGAAGATGGCAAGGTGGTGACAAGTAGCAGAGAGAAAGCATCTGTCTTCATACAAAAGGAAAAAAATAGCCCAAAAGCAGCACTGTAGGACACAAAATAGGACTGCAAGTCAAAACTGGCAAGAAAATGGTAAGAGAACAACTGTTCACTCTCGATGAGTTCAAATCACCAGAACTGGATGCATTACGTCCCAGAGTCCTGAAAGAGCTGCCAGACATGATCTTGGAACCACTGAACAATATTCTTTCAAAGAGCACCAGGGAACTACCAGAGGACTAGAAAAGAGCTGAGGGGGACCTAGGAATCTACAGACCAATCAGCCTGACCTGGGAAAAATCCTGGAAAGGATAAATGGTGGGTTTGTTCTGGAAACTGTCTTTTCCAGACCCTCAGAGCGAATGCCTTTGGCTGGCTCAGCTGAGCAGCTCACAGAGATCTTCTCTCCAGATTTCAAGATTTGCTTGCTCCTTGACCATTAGAAGAAACAAAAGATGACTGCAACTCCCACCTTCCCTTTCCATTGGTGAAGGAATGTTGATATCAAATTCATTTCAGTAGGTGTGTTAAAAAAGAAATCAAAGCTGCACTTGAATCTGGTTGGATATTTTGCTATATTTTCCCTGATGGGTCAACCTGGTGGATCTGCTTCAAGAGGAACAACTGACCGGCTGCTGAGCCATCTGCACAGGGCTGGGTGTGAGACTGAGAATCTCAAGCCCTGGTGTCAGGTGCAGCTGCAATAAACAATCATTTCCTTAAATCCTCCAAGGGAATCATCCACTTGTCTGGGTCACAACACGGGCGTGTGTCCCAAAGGAGATCTGTGGGTTCCCATGGCCAGAATGAGGCCCCACTTGAGCAAGCAGCTTCATTTCCGAAGCTGGACACTCCTTCATATTCCAGGCTGTTTTTAAGGCCAGCCCTGCCCCTTGGCAAGGTGTGACTGTGTACAACAGACCGAGGGCAAAAGAACGGACAGGTTTTTCTCCATCTGCAATTGTACTAGAATTGGAGGCCACCCAAGGAAACTGACTAGGAGAAGATTAAAGCTGATAAGTGGAAGTATTTCTCCACCCGGGGTGTGATCTGCCAGCTGAACACACTGTCACAGGGTCGGGGGTTGGCTGCTGGTTTAGTGGACTTCCAAAGGAGCCCAGAGCAACTCCCTGAGGACAGGCCACTCGGTGGCCACAAGGCTTGAGGACTGGACAGCCCACCTTGATCTGCCACATTCAAGGAAACCACCGTGGGTGAGGACACTGCCTGGATCTCCTCTCGGTAGGCCACTGGTGGCCCCCCTGCGGGAGAGAGAGAATGCTGGCTGGATAGGTTGAGTCCCGCTCTTTTCTTCTGCTTAGTTCAGCTTTATTCCAGTTTCATATTCCCCTTCATATCCCCCCCCCCTCTCTCCAGGCAGGTAGACTTGCCAAATAGCTCCTGAAGGGAGGCATCAAAGTCCTTGTAAGGAAAGGTAAATAAAATGCCTATTTTTGCCTTCTTCTCTTGTTTCTACAGCCAATTCCGTCTCCCTTGTTCTCCTCTATAACACCAGCACGATCCCAACTCCTCCATCAGACTCACGAGGCCAGGCGGTGCAGTAGCCATGATAGAATTGGCTTTTATGCCCCACTTGAAAAATCTTCAAGGATTTTTCACTTGTCAGTGGGGTACCTAGCAACATTCTAAGGGAATTAATAAAAGAAAAACAAATTCGAGCTTTTTGCTCATCTTAAAAGGCAAGTTGCACTCAGTTCAAACTAAGGTTGGGTCAGCTTTGCAACAAAAAGGAAATGAGCAGGCTGTTTTAGAAAATTTTAATGTTTAAACATTCACAGAGGTTCCATGGTTGTAAGAAGAAGTGAAAGGTTGGTCAAGGTCCCAGAAAAAGTGAAGAGTTTGAGATGCAAACTGCAGGTACCAGGGCAGCTCAGGGGACCCCTGCCCAAGCTCCTTCAGCCAAAATCCCGTAATGCTGATTCTGAGTGGGACCCCTGGTGGGGACATGATATCACGGGGTCTCATCAGTGCTCTGACTTCAGCCTGATGTCAGGCCAAAGAGGAGATGGTCGCTTCAGAGCAGAACTTTTGACTTGGTGGATTGTGTGAACAGACTATTTCTGGCTTGCACAAATAATGATTAAAAGAATTGGGCATCCAGCCAAAAGAATGGCTTTTACATGAAATAATCAGAAAGCAAAGCTTAGCACAATGAGGCCTCCCTCCAGGATCTCCATGGATCTTTTGCTTGATCGTAAAAACTCCTGGTTTCATTGCCAGAAACTGCCTAACAAAGAGGCCTCTGTGGATACTCACACCTGAGCTAAGGTGGGGGGGAGGAACAGGTAAAGGGCTGGAGAGGCATTTATCTGGAGGTGAAGCATCCAGCCAAGGGTCTTCCTGCTTTGCTTTGAAGGACGGACAGGTTCATCCCCAAAAGCTAACCTCAGGGCCCTTTCTCACCACGCGGGGCTGGGCCAGGGTCCTTCATATCTGAGGTGGTTGGAGAGCTACCTGTGCTTGGCCAGCTGTCCATGACCTGGGATGCTGCCGGAGGTTGTAAGGTGAGGACCAGTCATGACTCACTTTTTTCAGCACCATTGTAACTTCAAACAGTTATTAAACAAATGGTCATTAAATCGAGGTTAACTGCAGCAAACTCCTTCCCCAATATGGAAAGGGAAAGTTCACTTACAGGGCAATGCGGACTGAAACCGAAATAGGAGATGAAAAGTGGTTGGTCAGAATAACATGGGCGGGCTTTTTTTTTTAAGATTCTTTGTCAGAAACCGTTGTGGCTGCTTTGATGTGATAGAGCAGAGTTTTTCAAATTTGGCAAACTTTAATAGTGTAGACATTAACCCACAGAATTGCCCTGCTAGGCCAGGCTGGGAATTCTGGGAAGTACAATCCGCACATCTTAAAACTGCCAGATTTGAAAAGGGCTGGGATGGAGTAAACCTGCTGCAGCCAATGCAGAATCCTGGCTCTTGGTGGGGGAAGCTGCTCCCCTTGGCGAAACCACGAGAGACATGAAGCTGCCCCGGCTGGACGTGGATTTCTCTGTTCACCCAGTGCATATTTTAATTTCTATTTTGGAGATGTTTACTCTGTTTTTAATTTTGGGTTTCTACTGTCCAAACCTGTTTTTTTAATTTTAGCTTTGTTACATCACACAGCTTTGTTAATGGTAATAATTTAAATTTTAATGACCTTTGTAAAAATCACTCTGCTGTGTTTTGTTCAGGATCGATTGCAGCAAAACAGAAACAAAAACAAACCCACCACATGTTGATGCTGGAAAAACTTCAGGAAAACTTTTGGGGCCACAGTGTGCATCTCACCACACATTTCTTTTAAGTCAGAGCTCATGTGGTCAGAGACCTTTATTTAGTCAGAGACTTCACGAGGTGACAGTTCTGAGCTGACCCTCCACATTTAAGACCTGCACCAACGTACACAATTCATCAGCCTTCCAAAGCAATCCATTTTA